TGGTGGAGGGTTGGTGATGGGGAAGGGAAAATTATGACTTGGGTCTGGAGCTTGTGACACTGGAAGTGTCCCTGAGACCCCTGGGGGAGAAGATGGAGTTGGCTGTCGATGGATCTGGGGTCTGGAGGAGAGTCCGAGCTGGAGAAACTCGTTCGAGGAACTAACTGGGGAACACGCAAGAGGAAATTGAGACCCGGGTGTGAGTGTGAGCACCTGGGTGGAGGAGAGCGAGGGAAAATGAGCATTGCACTGAGGCTTTTAATAGACACTTTTGAGGGTTAAAGAAAAAGAGAAGAGGGTCATTTGCTGTAAAGATCCCTTTAGAAATATAGCTGGGAAAGTGCAAACTCATAAAAAGAAAATGCACCAATTTAATGAGGTGTGAGGTATACTAAGGTAGACAACGTGAGCATTTCTGAAAAAATGATGTGTTGCATTTGGATGTTCATATTTACTCCTTTACATCCCAAGAGTTTCTCTTAGAGCAGGGTGATTCTAACTGGATACAGGGAGAGAAAACATTGAGGAGAAATGGAAAAGGAGCTGGCAGCAAATCCAAGTTTTAGTTTTATTCAAAATCTCACATATTCAGCTGGTTTCTGAGAAAATGTAGATTCCTCTCCTAAATGTTATCATTTCTTGGCTTGCTCCTAAAATGACTTTAATAAAGAAAAGTTAAAATTAGTGAATGTATTGACTCAAATATAATCTATAAGGATGTAAACAAGGAATAGCCCCAGATAAACTTGTTGTGGAAACTGCAACAGCAACAACAGGGAAGTGACCACTGGTCACGTGTCCCCTCTCATTCCCTCTCCCCTTTCCCAAGATGGTATATAAGAGCCTCCCCCAGCAGAAGGCGGCATCAGACCTCCCTCACCTCTCCTGAATCCTCTCTCCTCACTTCACCTGAGTCCTCTCTACTGACACCATGGGTTGCTGTGGCTGTGGAGGTTGTGGTGGCTGCGGCAGTGGCTGCGGCAGTGGCTGTGGTGGTGGCTGCGGTGGCGGCTGCGGTGGTGGCTGCGGCGGTGGCTGCGGTGGTGGCTGCGGTGGTGGCTGTGGCGGCGGCTGCTCCAGCTGCAGGTGCTACCGGGTGGGCTGCTGCTCCAGCTGCTGCCCCTGCTGCCGCGGCTGCTGCGGGGGGTGCTGCAGCACGCCCGTGATCTGCTGCTGCCGCCGCTCCTGCAGCTCGTGTGGCTGCGGCGGTGGCTGCGGGAAGGGCTGTTGCCAGCAGAAGTGCTGCTGCCAGCAGAGCTGTGGCTGCAAGAGGCAGTGCTGCTGCTAGGCGGGCCGGCCCGGCTCTGGACAGGTGCTGCAGGTAACCGTCCTGTTGGTAAGGCTGCCGTCCTTCCCCTCCTGTCTGGTCTTCCCACACTCTCTGGTGCTGGATCTGTTCCTGTTTGTCTTTGGTGTTTCGTGCCTTCCCATCTGAAAAGTTTCCAAACTAATAGGCACCATCGTGTGGAAAGAACATGAGAACAGCCCAGAACGTGAGGAACTATCCCGGGCACTCGCTTCGGCTAACTGAGAACACAGTTCCCAGTTTTGGTTTGACTGCCTTTAAGCTCCATCTTTCTTCCACTTTTCCCTGTCGACACACAATATTTCTTTTCTTTTTTTCTTTTGTGTTCTTAGTTATCACATAATATTGTCTAAATTTCCTAATAAAATAATGTCATAATTAAAAAAAGTTCTCTTTTTGCCTTTGTTCTATTTGACCACACTGAACCCTGGTTTGTCTGTTTGGAAAAGTGAGAGATACTTTTTTTTTGAACAAAAGCCTTTGAAACACTTGCTATGGTAGCAATGATGCAAAGGATCATATAAGAAGCTGTGGCCAGGCCTCTGGGGATACCCCACCCCGTGACACATCACGTTGTCTCAGATACCCCTACTGTGTCCTCCTTCCAGGGGATTTACGGTCCCTGTTTTATTGATGTACCATGACATATCCCTGCAGCGACAGGCCCACCTGCCAAACAGAGGCCTTACGATTAGGACTTGAGTATAGAGGCTCAGCGGAACCAACAGCACACGGCCAGCTGGGTTTCCGGGGGTTTCTTTCGTTGATACATTCAATCTTTTTCTTCCCCTCTTTCTTTTCTTTATGGTGTGACGTTTTCTTCTTTTCATTGTTTTCAGTACACTGCAACATTCAGTGGGAGACACTTGAAACGCCTTAAGATAAAACACATTCAATTGCTAAAACTCTCCCAGTGACTCTGTCCTCCCTACTAGCTTTAGTAAGAGTAAGAAATGAGATCAAGGCCTGATCAAAACAGCCCAAGGGGAGAGGGTTTTCCAGGCATCTTTGAAGGAGGAAGTCTCTTCTTTAACTGCTTCAATTTAATGACAAACAACAGGGTAACCACTTCTTTTCCTTTTCCTTTTCCTTTTTCCTTTTTCCTATCTCCTTTCCTTTCCTTTCCTTTCCTTTCCTTTGCCTCTTTTTCCTTTTTGATTAGTTCTACAGCTCCCACACTTTTTCAGACTGTTGAGATTCTACCATTTTGTTAGCTGTAGAGACTCTAGGCTGAGGAGATTTTGGATCAAGATGGTTCAATATTTTCACACACTGATGTAGTCTCTCTGTTCAAAACAGGGGAAGAAAAGCTATACATAACCTATGAAAATAAAATAACAACATAGCTGAGCTCAATAACAAGACTTCTATGTTTGTGGCCCAGACACAGAGGGAAACTGACATTCAGGGCTGAAGCCGCAGCCTTGCTGGGTTCTGGGCCACAGGCATGGGCAGTGTGGGAATGGGACGAGAGAAACTGAATATCCCATGTCAGCTGGGGCTGAGAGCCAGACTCACTTTTGCAATTAGATGTCAGAGTGGTACCTCACTGGTTTTGAAAAAACCCAACTGACCTTTTGGCCCAGGACTGGGCTTATAAACAGCTGTCCCCTTGGAGAGACTGGAGGACACAGGCACAGGCTTTAGACCACAGGTTGACCTAAATCCCCTGCAGGCTTGAGAATAATCCATTATATCCCCATTGGCACTTTGGGATGGGGTCTGGGGGTGGGATGGGAAAAGACAACCACACAACCGTTAGACAGGTAGAAGCAAATGGTAGCAGGTGTATGTGTGTGGCTGGGGTGAGGAAAGTGAGAGAAATGAAACCAAAACACATCACACTGAAAATAACTGTACTGAGGGACTCCATCTGTCTCGTGCCACTTTCCTGAGCCTTGCGGGACTGGCTCACAATGGATCCCAGGCGTCTGTTGTCCCTCGTTGCTATCTGTAAGGAATAAACCCGCCTAGTGTAACGTGTTGCGTGTGTGAGTGTTGTGCCTCGCTGGCCTCAGACAAACTGGTAACCAGGGCACAGTGAACTTGCTTCGTTAAACTGACCCGGCGAGCAAGGTCCGGCCCTACAGAGCCAGGGCTCATGGCCAAAGCGGGAGGGCGCTGCCTCCCAGGATCTGGTGGAGAAAGAGGGGTGATGAGAGGGACTTAAGTACCCAGCCCCCAACATCTGTGATTTACAAATAGGGCAGCAGCGCTAGATCCCTTGGTTGTCGGGCACTTATGTGATCTTTCATTCCTGGGGCTGCAGAGCTCAGGAAGTGGGTCCTCAGGGGGACCCTCAGGCGCCTGAGAGGGAACGGGAAAGAGGTGCTCAGACAGCTGCTGAGGCGCGTGAGCAGAAGCCACGGCACAGCGCAGCCGGCGCAGGGAGGGAGGCTGCTGTCCCAGGCGCAGACGTGGAGAAAGTTCAGAGAAGCCTCATGCAGCCTGGTTGGTGTGTCTCGGGCTGAATGGCACAGTCAGCATGGGGCCAAGGTCTCCGGGTCCCCATCGGAGGCTCTTATACTGCTGTCAAGATAGAGGGGCAAGATTGGGGAATTCTGACTTTCATGAGGTTCTTGAATACTGGAATCCATATGACAATATTTCCAGGTTCCCTTAGGGCAGCGGTTCCCAACCTTTTTGACACCAGGGACCGGTTTCGTGGAAGAGTTTTTCCATGGACCGGGGGTGGGGATGGGTCGCCGCCTCAGCTCCACCTCAGATCAGCAGGCGTCGGATTCTCCTGGATCCCGCGCAGGTGCAGTTTGCAGCGGGGCTCGGGGCTCCTACAGGGTCTGGTGCCATCGCTGACCCGACGAGGGGCGGGGTTCGGGCTGTGACGATGGAGCGATGCGGAGTGGCTGTGGGTGCAGGGGGGGCTTCGGTTGCTTGACCACCACTTGCCTCCTGCTGCGCGGTCCGGTCCACGGCCCGGGGGCTGGGGACCGCAGCCTTAGGGGAAAGACTAAACTGGTGATACTGGGAGATCTGAGGACAAGCAAGGTGACCCATGGTGCTTATTTGCCTTGTGGGTGGGGCCCTCTGGGCCGTTTTGGGTGCTGGAGCCATGCTTCCCGCCACTGAGTGCATTATGAGCACTGATACTTTACTACCTGTGGCATAGAACATCACTGCTACCTGGGAGGATGTGGCCCCTCACAGTTAAGAATTTATTTGAGCCGTAACAGTCGGGCATATCCACTTTTGCTGGCCACGTAAGCTTCCCAAGCCCAGTGGGTTACTGCAGTACTATATATGAAGCAGTACTACATATGAAGTAGAAAAAAGGTATTAACTTGGTTAAATTTGTATCATTAAGTGTTCAACTTGAGACACAGAACCAGTAAAAGACAAATATTAAGAAATTAATTTCAAGGAATTTCCTTACATGATTACGGGGGCTTGCAAGGCAGTCCAAAATTCATGGGCTAGCCCATCAGAGGGGGTGGGCTGGGACTCTCAGGTATGGGCGGAAGCTCCTGTTCACAGATGGAATCTCTCTTTTTCAAGAGAAGCCCCAGCTCTGCTCTGAAGGTCTTCCGCCTGATTGAATGAGGCCCACCCAAATTATCTAGGATTATCTCCCTAATTTAAAATCAACTGATTATGACTCTAATCACCTCTGTAAAATACTTCACAGCAACACCTATAGTAGCGCTTGATTGAATAAACAAAGACTACAGCCTAGTCAAATTGACTCTTAAAATAGACTATCACAAACGGCGACAAACTTTTACATAAATCTGAGAACTGAAATCTTTATAATATTTAGTCTTTCCATGCAAGGTCATGGTGAAGTTTAATTAAAATTTTTCTTTAATTCTTTTGCCCTGGATTGTAGGAATTAAGTATTTGCCCATATTCTAACTTTTTATATTGGTAAATAATATGAGTATAATAATCATGGTTATCTCATACTGACCACTTACCATGTGTCAGATCTGCACTGTACATTGCTTTATCTATTCTTCAAATCAAAACAAATGACACTTTTATGAGGTAGGGCATAGAAGGCTAAGATATGTTATTCACTTTAGGATCTCTCATGTTTCTGCAAATGGTCACTTTTTATGTCTATGTTGTTCTGGGATGAGCTTGAATGTGTTGAAACAGTATTTGGGGTTGCAGTTGCTTACTGAGGCCATGTAGATGGTTTGTTTCAGTCTGGTCAATTGAATCATCTGGTTATATATTCAGTTCACTGGCTGAGGTTTTGACGCGGTTTTGATGAGGTTCATGATAGTCTAGTCGTCTATCTTTATTCTAGGATGAAACATGAAATGCCATGCAGTTAAGCACCATATATCTTCCATCACAGTAGCTTGCCTTCTGAGTCCACGCTAGGTGAGACCAGGCTAACACCGTGTTACTGTGCTCACACCAGGAGTGGAGTCCCCGGATTCGTTTGGACTCTGACCAGTTGCAGGACTACATTTGTTCTTTCCGCATGTGGCTGAATAGATTGTGTAAAAGCTTCTCATTAGGAAAATTCCAGTGATGACTGAGAAATAACTTCCGTAAACTAAAAACTAAATAACAAAAAAGAAGAGAAAGAGATTGTAATGAATCACACGAAAATGGATATTTGACACCGAAGGTATATGATGCTTTACTCCTAGCTGAGAGATCTTGAGCAGGTCACTGATTTTGGGTCTCAGTTTTCTAATTTGTAAAATTAGAATAATAACAACAGCTACTCATATTTATTGTAAGGGTTAAATGAGTTATCCATATAAAGCATATAGAAGAGTATCTAGATGGTAAAAGTTCAATAAATTTTACCTGTTTCTGTAGTCCTGAAACTCTCCAAATATATATACTTACATAGTATATATTTTTGTATGGTATATATGGTATATATAGTTATATATATATTTATAGTATATATACTATTTAATAATATATTTATATATATACTAATTTCTTTCTTGCTTTTTTTCATTTTCACATTTAGTATATCAGATTGAGAATTTATTTTTTTTCCCTAGAATATATCTGAAAAAAATTGCACAGTGTACCTATCCAGAAATGTTAAAATTATATTAACGTGTCTAAACGTCTAGAGTTCTTACATGTTCCTAATGAAATAATTGAATCTTTAATTATTTTAACGACTCTCTTTATATCTCTAGATTGAGGTCTTAATTATATTTTATCTTTTAAAAAATTTAACTATAAATTATAAGTAGACCAAATTTGACTAGAAACTCCAAAAGGCTGGATGTACTGTGTCTGGCTAGTAGGGGAACATCTGCACCTTTCTGATTTAATTAAAAGTGAGATTTATAAATCACATAAAATCTTAAGAATTAAGAGTAGAAAAACAAAGGATTCATAAAAAGCATAACCACAAAACCACCATGGCACATAAAAAAAATGAACAATTCCTTAATATCACCTAGTCAGCATCCCAATTTTCCTGATTGTCTCATAATATTTTTAATTTCTTTGTAAGTATCAGGATTCAAAGAAGATCCACACATCGCCATGGATTCACAGATATCTTAAAACACTGTTGGTTTCTCTTTCTTTTCCCCTTGAATTTTATTTTGAAAGAAACTAGAGAATCTCCAAGATTCTGGTGTTTTTTGGTTATATTTGTAGATATCATTTAATGAGTTCTGTCTGCTTGTTTCCTGTAAATTGGCAGTTCAATCTAGGAGTTCATTTATTATTTTAGTAATAATTGACATATTCATATTTTTTTTTACCATTCTATTTTTCTTGCTCCTTAAATTTCCCCCTCATTTCTTGAATTCTGATGCGTTATTTTTTTCCATATTATGTATTTTATTCCTCCTTTCTGTATGGAAATTGCATAATCTATTTCTAAATTTTTAGTAATTACACTTGAAATGTTAACATCTTAAATAAACAAAGCAGTGGTGCATGAAGGGTGGTGGTGGGAATGGTCTGCCCTGGGCACAGGCAGTAGGGGGACAATTATCTCTAGTTAAGTTAAAAGCATTAGTAAAACTGATGAAGCGTCTGTCTGCATTTTATTATTGCCGTACACCAGCAATTCTAAACAACGATAGTGGTAAAGTATGCCTCCTGCCAGATGGCCTGCTATCCCTCACTGCTTGGTATGCCACCCTACTAATTTTCACCTCCTCCAGAACACTACAGAAATCTTTAGTTTTGAACATTCCTCTGACTTGTATATTATTGTCGAGTATTTTATCTTTTTATAAACTCCTCAAGATAGAAAACGTAAGTATTACCGTTTTACATGGACAGTATTTGTTTAGATTTACTCACATATTTTCCTTTTTTTTTCCCCTACATTCCCTCTTGCATCATATTCCTTCCTTTTGGGGTAATTTTCCTCCTTCCTCAAATGCATCCTTTAGAAATAAACCCTTTTGTAAGCATCTGTTGGTGATCACACCCTCCATTTCTGTTTGTCTGAAAAAGCCTTT